GCAAGTAGTTTACCTTAGAGGTAATCCCTGGAAGCACTGGTTGGGAAGTGGGTAAATAAGGAAGAAAAGGAAGGAGTCAGTATAGGGTGCATTAATGAACAGGCTACCATTGTGGGCAACTGTGACTCAATCCCACAAAGTAACGTTGCGAGACTACCGTAGTCAAAACTGACTCACTCAGGAACAAAAAGTTTGAGTATGTATCCACCAAATCTTATCATTCATTGGTTCAAGGATGCTCCCATTGTTGTTGTTAGGTGCTGTCGAGTCAGTTCCTGCTTATAGTGACCCTATGTACAAAAGAACAAAACACTGCCTGGTCCTGGACCATTCTCACAATTGTTGTTATGCTTGAGCCTATCATTGCAGCCACTTTGTCAATCCATCCTGTTGAGGGTCTTCCTCTGTTTTGCTGACCTGCTTTACCAAGCATGATGTCCTTCTCCAGCGACTGGTCCCTCCTGATAACATGTCCAAAGTACTTGAAACAAAGTCTCACCATTCTCACTTCTAAGGAGCATTCTGACTGTACTTCTTCCAAGACAGATTTTTTTGTTCTTCTGGCAGTCCATGGTATATTCAATATGCTTTGCCAACACCATAATTCAAAGGCATCAGTTACGGCAAGGATGCTCCTAGGAGCATTAATTTCCCATAACTTCCAACATGCCTCACACAGGACCAGTAGTCAGAGGAACCATTCAAACAATGCATCACAGTAGAAAGCTGTTAGGTCAGTAAGCTGGGAAACAGTGTGTGCGAAGAAGAAATGAGTGAAGCACCACAGCATCTGCTTCTCCCCCATCACACCACCAATAGCAGCAGTGAGGATGGAAAACTAGGGCTCTAACTGCGCCTGAAAGACCCGTGCCTCTTTCTCCCCAGCAATATTCATATCCTCACAAGATAGTCTGCGTGGAGACTGTCAGTCCTAAATTAATTCTTTTCTTCATCCCTGCTTACTTTAAAATCTCTCATTTCTTGATCATCCTTTATCACCAGAACTCTCATTCCACATGAATCTGTGTATCTTCTAATCAAACTTAAAATAGATCCAAAGTACTTGCTAAAGTTTATGGCCAATCATCAGAGTCCCCTACATTTTCATGCTCAAGAACACGTTCTTGTTTTAATTAAAACCTAAACCAAAGAACCAGATCCATTGCTGTGGAGTCGAATTCCGACTCATAGCAACCCTGAAGGGAGTAGAACTGCCCCATGAAGAGATTTGATATAATGTGATCACCTCCATGATGGGATCTGCTGTGAGGAGTCAATTAGCTGAAAGGCAGTTTCCTTGGGGGTGTGGCCTGCATCGAATGTAAGTGGACTCCCTGGCAAGGCTCATGCACTTTTGCTTGCTCTGGATACTAAAGCTGCCTCTTGTTCGTCTGACCTCCAGTTTTTGGGACTTGAGCTAGCAGCTTACCTGCTGTCTTACCTGCCTGGGATTCGTCGATCTTCACAGACTGTAAACGAGAGCCCTGCTGTATGACCTGTCAATTTTGAATTTACCAGCCCCTGCAGCTATGTGAATCAGGAAAGGCCTCTATCCTGATCCACAGTATTGGGACATTCCAGCCTCTACAATTTCATGATACATTTCCTTGATATAAATCTCTCTCTATATATATATATACATATATATATATATGTATATATTCACATATTTTACTAATTTTGCTTCTCTAGGGAACCCAGCCTAAGACACGCCCTTGCTATTTCATCCTTTCTGCTCTCTCTTCAAATCTCTAACATCACCAGTCCCCATTTTCACTTCAGCTATTACACTGATTTCAATTTTTCACTGAGAAAATAGAGCAAATAGAAGATAATTTCCACATAGTTCTGCCACCATATTTACCTGCTGTGTACACATTTGTTCTTCTGTCACTGCAGCAATTCTATCCTCTCACACATATCAATTTTCCCACTCAATTTCTCATTTTCATCTAATATAATATCTCTCATCTCTCTACCTATTTATCGACCTATCTATACCTATCCATTTGTTGTCGTTGTTGTTGTTAGCTGCTGTGGAGTTGTCCCCCGACTCTTAGTGACCCCACGTACAACAGGAATGCAATAGGAAACGCTGCAGACATGGATAAGACCGTCGTGATCCATAGGGTTTTCATTTGCTGATGTTTGGAATTAAATCACCAGGCTTTTCTTCCTAGTCCTTCTTTAGCTGGAAGCTTCATTGAAACTTGCTCAGCATCATAGCAACATGCAAACCTCTAGTGACACAGACAGGTATTAGCTGCACATAAAACATATATATTCTATTATCATTATTCGTAGTAATTATGTTCTATAAAGTCTCAGAGAACACTGAACTAGTGAATATTGAACCAGCTTTGTTTGACCTGAGCCAGGAATGTGCATGTTGGGCAACTCAAGTTTTTTTGTCACCCTTCACATTCGCATGCCTGCGAACAACACTGGAAGTCTCCGTGAAAGTACTATATTGATTTTGGACTTGCAAACAAACTTATCAAGCAGGCAAATTCATGAATGTGGAATCGATGAATAATGAAGATTAACTCTATAAATGTTTATGTATATACACAACACTATTGGCACCACCTGGGACTAATTACTTCCGGGACCAGTACTGTACTAAATTGCATGTCTTTCCTTGTACAACTTTTTCATTTTTACTAGAGTTTATAACTGCCTTTCTCATTGACTGATGTATTTCATAGCACATAATGGGAAACACATGTACACATAATTGTATTTTAACCACAGAAAGAGATTATAAAATATTCTGTGCCTGTAATTGATTTTGCGGTTACAAATAAATGTTAGCTAGTAGGCAAATTGCTGTGTTGAGCACAGACAAGCTGTCCCCTCCAAACTTAAGATTTAAATAATATTCAAATAAACATTTAGGCAGTATCTATTTGCTTTCACTACAGTAATGGAGAATTTAGCTTTCCTATATACAATCCTTCTCATATACTTATATTTCAATGTTTGGTAGAATCAATATTAAGCATATTATGATGAACCAGTAGACCAGTTGCTTTCCATACTTATATATACATATATAAATAGATATACTTATATATACATATACATACAGATAATAAAATAAAAAATAACATGATACAACCCTTATTAGAATAAATTGTAATTTAAAATATTCTTAACTCCATATCTCTTTTGAACTACTGCCCTGTATTTCTTCCTCTTTTCAGCAAACTTCTTTAAAGTGTTATCTGTATATGTTGTCAGCATTTCTTTGTTTCCCATTTTCTCTTAAACGTCACTGAATCAGGCCTTTTGACACTATCTGCTCACCCCCTCCTACCTACCTCTCCTAAGTTCAAACAGTAATATTTGAAACGTTTAAGAGAGAGGGGATAGGTTATGTTTTGGTGGTGCTAAGTTGCACGAACTTAACCAAAAGTAGCCTCTTGTTCTTGAAACTTTTTCTTTACCTTTTGCAGCATCAAGTCCAACGTTAGTCAACCTGTTCCAGCTCCCACTCTATTCCTACAACTTTACTTCCACATTTATATCCTAAGCATAAAAAAGAAACAAAAAACCAGTCATTTTTGGCATTCATACTACCTCTCTATGTCCTATCCTCTGCTGTGTCTCCTTACCGTTTCTAACACGTATTTCTCATTCTTTTTCAAAGGCTCATATTCTAAAATGTGCCCCCTAAATAGTCATCTGATACTGCACGCACCAAGTTTACATTCTCTGCCCTCTTCTCTTAGCATTCACTAGGCCATTTCATTCATTCTCATTTCTTCCCCGTCTCTTCTTCCACTGACTCCCAAATACCCACCTTTCGGCTCTGACTTTTTGCTAACCTCTAGAATTAAATTTTGGTTTTCTATTGAGCATCTCTTTTGGGAATGTTCCTCACTCAACAATTTGAAATGTGAACTTGATTTCCCTCTTACACCTTCTTCTACCCTCTTCCTGGAATCAAGGTCTCACTATCCACACTATATCCAGTGTCAATGACTAACCATCCAAATCATATACAAAATAATTCAAGACTGTTGTCTTAAATCTCTCTAGAATCACTTCTCTCTTCATCCCAACTATTTGCCTCCTCATTTCTAATAAAGATTATTACAATAGTTCCTAATTGGTTTACTCACTGAAATTATATCTCTGCACAGCAACTAGAGCTGTCCTTTTTAGATTGGTCAAGCACTCCCATGTTTTAAAGTTCCCCAGGTCCCTGTTGATTCTACAATAAACTTCAATGTCCTTGGTATGAGAAACAAGGCTGTTTACAACTTTTTCTGTGATTCTTTTCTCTTATTTCAATTTTGTCTCTGGTCATTCCTTCCCGTCTTCACACCAGTCCAAACTCTTGTCTTTCCCCAACAATCCCCAGACCTTTTTTGTATGGCTATGACTAGCCAACATTGTTCCCTCTGATCTGAGTGATCTTCTCATTCATTCTTTCTCCTCATTCTCCTCCCAAACCTCTTTTAAGACTGAAGTGACTATTAAGTCTTGTAAAGTAATGAAGAAATCTCCATTCATTCTGGAAGGGAGGTCAGAATAAAGGATTTTGTATCCTCTGTGCTACTGAAGCACTGTGCACCTCTCTCTATTATAGCGTTTGTTACATTGCTTAATGATTAATTATAAACATACCCCAACTGTAAGAGCTTCAGATTCAACAACCACTTCTTAATTCTCCTTTGGCAGAGAGAAAGAACAAGCCTGATCTCTGAGCTTTAAAAACTAGGTTTATATCTTAGTTGTATTATTTACCAGTTTAATGATTCAAGCACTGCTCCCAATTTCTCCTCTGCCAAATGAAGATAATAGTAATAGCTTCTTTACTGGTTGTCTTGAGAATTATCTGGTATAATACATGTAAGGCAACACAAGTCACATTGCCTAGCTCAAAGTATGTAGCTGCAAAAGTTGGTTTGCTTCCTTCTTGGTATCCTCTTTTCAGCTGTACCACCAAGCACAGTGTCAGCACACAGTGAGTGTTCAAAAATGTAGGTGGAATGAATCCATCTGTTTCACTTATATTTGCTGTATCCAAGCCACCACGAAACTTAGTAGCTGAAAACAATGATGGCTTTCATTTTGCTCACTCATCTATGATCTGGGTTGAGTTTGGCGGGGACAGCTTGTCTGTGCTCTGCACAGCATCAGCTGGAGTAGTTCGAAGGTTGGGAGGCTGGAATCATTTGAAGATTTTCTCACATATGTGTGCGCATTTGATGCTGTCAGCTTGGGTAAGGTAGAAACCTGTCACCTGGGGCTGTGGCCAGAGCTCTAGACAGAGGCTTTCCTTACATCTTGGCAACTGGGTTCCAATACAAGTGCCCTGAGAGAGAGACAAGAGGAAGATGTATCGCCTTTTGAGTCCTAGGTTGGAAAGTCATGCAATGTCACTTCTGCCACATCTATTAGTAAGAAATAAGTAATTAAGACAGGCACCTATTCAAGTGGAGGGGAATTCTGACTTCACCTTTTGAAGGAAAGAGTGCCAGATGTTTACACATTTTAATATAAATTCCATCCATCCATTGATCAGTGCTAACATCTATACCAGGCTGGTGTGTTGAACATAGGAATGTGTGCATTTAAGAGCACCACAGACCCTACACAGGGGTCAGGTACCTAGATAGGTAGAAGAAAAAAAACGAAGACCAGAATTCCAAACATCTGCGTACTAATTCTGGATGTGACCAGATAAAAGCTAACTGAGCTTTTACTAAATTACTAAAAAGTCACTATTTTAGCCTCAGCTTTATCTTCTCTAAGATGGGAATAATGATTATTATACAGCCAGCCTCAAAAACTTTGAGAATCAGAAGAGGTAACTCTTATAAAGACATTATGAATTCAGTAGCCTAGATAAAAGGCTCTCTTATTAGAGCGGGGGTGAAGGAGAAAATCTATTTTCATTTAACGTAGCAATAGTAATTACACTACGATCTGGTCAAATTTGCTTTTACTCAGTGACACTACAAACTCTTTGTTCTTTAATTTTTCTCTGTATAAGAAATGAATTTTAATAAATGCCACTACTTTTACCTAGGTACCAGGAGAATTAATAAGCTCTTAAGGCTAGGCGTTTTGCAAGTATCCTTTGCAGTATTACATACACCACCACAGTGATACACTCTATATTCAGTCATGTATTTCAAAAAAGTAATAGCAAGTGACATTTCACAATCTAAGTTTGTTCTGTTAAAAAAGAATTGGATTCTAGGTTTATAGAAAATGTCAAAGAACATCAAAGAAAATATCTGACATTTAAACTACCAAGAACCCCAATACCTAACGTATAAAACTAAAGGATGACTAATGTGTGCACTCTGCATTACGTATTATATTTTTTTCCTTCTGTTTAATAATATCTTGAACTTATATAGCTTGTTTCCTTAAAACAATTTAAACCATCCCGTGATTTCCCCATTAAATATATTATCCCCTTTTTGTCAGCATTATCTAGAATTCTTCACATTCAGTCTATAATATACTTGATAGTTCTTTTTCACTCCTTTTTCTGTCCATATGTATTCATATGATCACATTTTAGCAATTGATGAGTTAATTGAAATGTTTATGGAACTTTGAAGAAAAACATTCTACGTATTTGACTGCACTGAAGTGTAAAGCCCCTTTTGTACGCTCCGCAGACAGGGTGACCAATGTGCAAAGAGAAATCACAGCCTAAGATGACATATTTCAAACATATAACTGGCAAAGAATTAGAATCCAAAGTATATGGAATATTACAAAAAATAAATGATAAAAGGAAAAAACTAAAATGGCAACATAAGTAAAGAACATGAATAAGAAAAATCAAACCACTGTTGTCGAGTTGATTCTGTCTCACAGTGACCCTATATGTCAGAGTAGAACTGCCCTATAAGCTTTCCAAGGCTGTAATCTTTATGGAAGCAGACCACCACATCTTTCTCCCACTGAGCAGCTGGTGGGTTCAAACTGCCGACCTTTTGGTTAGCAGCCCAACGCTTTAACCACTGCACCACCAGGGATCCTTCATGAATAAGAAAGTCACAGGAAATTTGGGGAACAACTCAAATTGCCAGGTAACACAGAAAAATATGCCCAATATTACTAAATTCAGGCTATTATGTATTAAAGCAATAGAGAGACACTATTTCATACTTATTAAATAACCCAGAGTCATTTGGTAAATTTTGACAAAACCAAGTGTTGCCATAGATATAAAACTGGGGAACTCTGGTACACTATATCCTGTTCCCTTGCAATAGTACATAATGACAAGTGAGTATAAGAGTATGCAATTAAAATAAATTAATATTTTAAAAGATAACTCTTAATAGTATAATTATAATCATTTGTTCAATTTAAAAAGATTTATCAACTACATTCTATATGTTAGAATCTCCATTAGATGCAGCCTAGGTTCTAAGAAGACATAATTTTCTTAGAGAGAAAAATGTACATATCGAGAAATCTCTAAAATGTGAAGCACACAGTAGGTACTCAATAAAAAGGTGGATTTAGTAATATCTCCTGAAGTTTTGAGCTTACGGGTGCAAGTATTTGATGTCATTGTGCACAGGTCAGTTTATGATTACTTATAAAAGTAATATAGTAAGTAAGTATGTCAGTTCTGGAGAGACTGAGTTATATTTCCAATCCTATCCTATAGGATAAATTATTTTAAAAACTGTGTTCTTGCAGCTTGGAATATAATTTCCAATGACAGCTTGAAATATGATTCACAATATGTAATATCTCAAAAAACTTTTAAAAAGTGGAGGTGAGGTGTTCTGGAAAAGTATGTTAGCAGACTCAAAATTATCTCATGTGATCCAGACAATATCAATGCCAAAGATACAGTGTTGTGAAATCTGAGAGTGGAAAAAGGAATAGTCCTACATTAATTATTTTATATAATTTGATAGTATGTGTGTGTGTAAATTAATAAAAATGTACCAAGTTTGCCAAAAGACGGAAAAATATTTTAAAAATAGATATCTTTTTTTTTTCTTTCTTTCTTATCTTCTCACTGGGCAAGTGGAAGGTAATTTGATTTTAGGTGTTGACACATATTTAAACACATAATATATATTTCCCCTGCTTTAAAATTCTTTAGTGGCTCCTCACTGTTAATTGGACAATTTCAAGGCTTATGAAATCATAAGATTTCTGGATTCCAGCTTTTGCCAAACCCCAGTTTTTTATCTTTTACTTTCCCTTATAGTTCAGCAGTACAGAACTATTTGTAATTTTTTTTAAAGAGTTAGACTGTCTTTCCCCTGCTCTTTGTCTCTGTCTTATCTTCTGGCCTAAGACACTTCAAAGCTTCAATTCATGCAGTATCTCTTGTTTGAAAAATTCCCTCAAGGGACCCGCTTCTGCCGTCTTTTTCTTGCAAGGCGTCTTTTTCATATCTTTTACATAGCACTGTATTTTAATTTTCTCTAAATGTCTAACAGTGAATAAGAGTACAATCTTCAGAATCAACAGGCAGGAAGTAACATACAGACGTTATCATTTATTAGCTGTGTAACCTTGGGCAAGTTACGAAACTTTGAGACTCAGCTTCCTCATTTGTACAATGGGGATAATAATACTTGCTAGTATGATGTTATGAGGTTAAATGAGCTATAGAAAACATGTAGACGGGTCATGACACAAAGTACCAATAAGTAAATGGTAGATATTATTAGTATTAACATCATTATTTTGTATTTCCTTCTTATTAACATGTGAGATCTTTGGTATAAACTAAACTTTAATTCTGCATTTCCTAAAGCTGATAATACGTGCTTAATGTTTGAAGGGAAACCCTGGTGGCATAGTGGTTAAGAGTTATGGCTGCTAACCAAAAGGTTGGCAGTTTGAATCCACCAGATGCTCTTTGGAAACCCTATGGGGCAGTTCTACTCTGTCCTAGAGGGTCACTATGAGTTGGAATCGACTCAACGGCAATGGCTTTTTTTGGTTTTAATGTTTGAATACATGAATAACTGAATAAATAAGTGGAGCTCTTAGAAATGAGCAAAATACTCAAAATATGGTTTGTCCAATACAGAGAAGAGAATACTCCATTCTCTACCCACCCATCCCCCCCCCCCAGAAATTATGTATCTATACCATAATCACACTATGTACTCTTTGTGGGGGATGGAAAAAATTATGTAATTTTACTATGTGTCATTGACGAGCAAAATCTCACCTTACCTATTCTTGCAGTTGTTTGCACCTGCAGGACCTTAAATTTCATCCATTGAATTCAGTCCATCTCTTCAGAGGTAATCTGAAATAGACTGAGCTGTTACTGGTAATGTGTACCTCAGAACTGATTAGATCAGTAGCTCTCTTGGCAGTTCGAGTCCACCCACAGGTACCTCAGAAGAAAGGCCCACTTACTTCCAAAAAATTAGCCATTAAGAATCCTATGGAACATAGTTCTCTTCTTGACACACATGGAGTCTCCATGAGTTGGAATCGACTCCACAGCAGCTGGTTTGGTAGGAGCTGAGGCTAACTGATGACAATGAGAAAGAGGAGAGAGGCTCCAAACCGAAATACTCCTGCTCCTCAATATTGTATTTAAAAGGTTTCACCTGTGGTATTTGTAACATTGACATTGACTTATTTGAATGGATTAAAAGTATTTCAAGACTGTAATACCTCCCTCTTAGATGGCCAAACTATTGAGCAGCCTAGTTTAACTCTGGTAAACATTTTCCCAGTGACAATTGCTAATAGTCCCACTGGACAAAGTGAAGAAGCCACTGAAGGCCAGACAGATATTCCACTGCAAATATATTGACATCGCAGTTTATCACTAGTACCTTGAGAGTTTAGTCAGCATTGAATCCACAGAGCCTATAAGCTCTGGTAGAGCTGAGAAAAACTGAATTTCAGTACCTACAAGACTGAGAAGTAGTCCCTAGAGTAGAAATGTGTACAAAAACCCAACTCTCTCCTTCCCAGCCATCGTCTTCCCTCTTCTAACTTAAGGGACACACATCACTGTCATTGTCCTCATCCTACTTTAAACATGCACCACTACCTCTAAAATGTGTTCCATACATGTGATATTCATTGCCAAGATTTTGTAACAAAATGCCTGGTTAGCACAGTGAACAGATTCAGATGTGTCTGAGGCCAGGTGCTCAAACACATGCATTATAATAGAAATTCTCCTAAGAGAATAAAGGAAGAAATGATAAAAATCATCATTATTCAATTAGTATCCCATGAAATCAAATGACCCGCCACCTCCAGATCCCCACAGCAAAAGGAAAAAACTGTATTTTTTTTTGTTAGTTTTTTTTATATCATCATATATCAATTTGTCTCGAACGCGCCCCAGAGAGTCAGACAATGAAAGCTCCTTTTGTTTTCTGTGCAGTCATTGTATTTTATAGCCCAGGTTATGAGCTCTCTACCAGAAAATGTTCTGGAAATTCCACTCTGCTTTCAGTTGTTTTAATGACTCCTTTAAGCACTAAAAGAGGGAAAATATACATTTAATTTTCCCTCCTATTTGCTTCTCTGCATTTCTTCTAATATCATTCAATATTACCCCAAGATGGATGTACCACAAGTGTTTTGGTAAAGATAAAAGAGCACAATTCTTCAAATATTTCTGAAATACATTCCCATTTATTTTTTACAGAAAAATAGCTTGTGTTTCATTCTTTCCAAAAAAGAACAACTCCCCAATGACATCTCAAATTTGCCTAACAAGTAGATTGTGAATAAAGTCACTTTCAAATTACAGTAAAACCTATAAAAGCTGGAACCTGGGTAAGGTAGAAACCTGTCAGAGAAGGAAAACTAAAATATTTTCCACTAAAACAAGCAATAGAAAAATGGTAAGCCTGTACTCTGTCAAGGGTAGAAAACTTTCAAGACCAGGGAAAACAAAGCAGTACCACTGAGTTCTGGCTCTCACAGGTTTCACTGTATAGCTATCTAATGTTGTGAAATGATTTACCCAGTCTTATCAGAGGATCCTTATATTTGAAATCAGAAATTCTAACAAAAGTTAGAATTTGTGAAAGTTACTGGAGAATAATACTTGCTTTTAAGGATCATACCTGAGACTCTGATTGACCATCCCCAAATCACTTCACCCTTTATGAGGACAGTATGATTGATCAGTGGGCTCCATATCATGAGTATGAAACTGATCTACCAGTTGATGTGATCCCTTTGTCCTGCCAACTCTCCTGAAGTGATATCCTAAAGAAACAAACTTGCCTGCAATGCAGCTTCATGTCAAATTTGCATATGGCATAGCATATGGAGTGACAGCTAGACCACTGGTTTCTCAGACCTGAGGAAATACAAGAAGACAATTTTCAGAAGAGACACATCTCTCATTGAAAAGGCAGCTTCCCAGCACACAATTGTCTTCCAGTAGACAGATACTGGCAAAGACAACTGTCTTGACTGAAAAGAACACTGCCAAGAAACTGACCTTAGGGGAGAATGAGAGAGAGAAGAGCATGATATTTACATTTCTTTGAAGTCTCTTTAAAGTTCTGAAAAATCACTCCTAAAAATATACTCAACTGTGACTAGAAATATATTTTCTGTTCTCTTAGAATATTTGGAGGTAGAGAATGCAAAAAAAGAACACATTTACTCTTGCCAATCTGTGCATTTTCTAATCTTTTGCACAATCTGCCTTAAATTTTTTAAAGCAATATAACAGGTTAGTAATATTAAATATATGCATTTAGGTTTCATTTCTTATCTCTTACTCAGTTTAGTAGTTTAGGATCTTTCTGAAAACAATGCTGAACCCATCATATATATTGGAGTCCCATATACATTCTGAAGAGACAGCACTAATCCTCTCTGACTCTTCCTTTAATTTGCAGTTATTACTAAGTATTTCATCTCCACATCCCTTTACCATTCAACTGTCAGTAAAAAATACTTTGAAGATATCTTATAATCCTTTATATGGGTGACAAGTTGCTTCATGGATTTTTATTTCTATCAACTTATAAAAGCCCACCAATCAGAAATCTCATTCTATCTCAAAGGAATGAATCTGAATGTATTAAATACAATCCACAATAGAGACGCCCATGTTGGAAGAACCAAAAAAAACAACATTGCCGTCGAGTTGAATTCTGACTTGTAGTGATCCTACAGGACAGAGTGGAAAGCCTAGTGGGTAGTGGTTAAGAGCTAAAGCTGTTAAACAAAAAGTTGGCATTTCAAATCCACCAGGTGCTTCTTGGAAACCTTATCGGGTCGTTTCTACTCTGTCCTATAGAGTCGCTATGAGTCGGAATCAACTCGACAGTAACTGGTTTGGTTTCTTTGGTATAGGACAGAGTAGAACTGCCCCAAAGGGTTTCCAAGGCTGTAAATCTCTGCAGAAGCAGACTGCTGCATCTTTCTCCTGTGGTGTGGTGGATGGGTTCGACGCTCTGACCTTTAGGTTAGCAGGTGAGCGCTTAACCATTGCACCACCAGAGCTCCTATTGGGAGAACACATAGCAAAAAATCAACCTATGGGGTGGGACCTCATACCATCAAGAAAGCAGTGCCGGGAGCAGAGCGCACCCTTTGGACCAGGGTCTCTGTGCAGAGAAGCTGCTAGTCCAGGGGAACACCAAAGAGAAGAAGGCCGACAGAGAGAAAAAGTCTTCCCCTGAAGCTGACGCCCTGAATTTGGACTTTTAGCCTACTTTGACTGTGAGGAAATAAACTTTTCTTTGTTAAAACCATCCGTTATGGCAGCGCTAGACGACTAAGACAGAATTTGGTACCGAGAGAGTGGGGTGCTGCTCTAACAGATACCTAAAATGTGGAAGCGGTTTTGAAACTGTGAATGGATAGATGTGCGGCAGTGACAGAGGACCAGCAGCAGCAGAGAACCTACAGCAGCAGAGAAGCGGCAGCGGCAGAGAACCAACAGCAGCAGAACCAGGAGACCAGTGCGAGACGGCACTGGAGCCAACCCACGGAGCGATAGAGCTGAGTGCCTGTGCGCAGGAGGCTTCCTGGCAGAGTGGGGTGCCTCTGGGCACTTATACTGGTGGAGCTACAGAGCTTTGGAACACTTGCCCCAGCAGGACAAACGTGGGCATGAGGCCTGAGGGCCAAGAGGCCACAGGAAACAGAAGCAGAAGCTGAAAAGACAAGGGACACAAGAAGCCAACCTGCTTCAGTCTCAAAAGGTTGTAGACCTCAGCAGCAATGCTCTGACCACCATCCAACTGATGATGGTCATTGCTCTAGAACTTCCCCGTCTGGAGGTTGACTTGGCTGACAACCAATGGCAGTGTGATGATAGCATGACAATCTTCCAAGATTTCATTTCTGAATCCTGGAGGAAAAAGTGGAACGAAATTTGCAACAAGTCTATAGGGAATAAGGAGGCATTCTGGTGGACTCCCAAAATCAGAATTTCCAGGAAGACCCACCTCCCTCGCATTCATCTGAATCGTATGAAAAAACTTCTACCAAGCCAAGAAGAGAGGTCCCAGGAAGCAATGTCCGTGAGCCTTTCCACTTTGTGGAAGAAGGAACATGTCAGGTCTGATATCAACTAGAAGCAGAGATGTCTGCCAAGATGGGTTGGAAATGCCCAGGACGATCAAACTCTTGGCAGAAGAGAAGACGATTACCACGACCTCACCCTGTCAGTCTGCCTGTCAGTGTTCATCACATTCTTCGTTGCTTTCTGCCTGGGGGCTTTGACAAGGCCTTATATTGACAGACTGTGGCAACAAAGATGCTGGCACAAAAGCCCGGGTTCAAAAAATACATATTCAAATGAGGGCTTCCATGATGAAATTGAAGCTGCAGGGAACATACAGCCCCCAACCACATTTCCACACCAAGATTTTCATGGTCTAAACCTCTTTGAGAACCAGGACTCTGTCCCAGTGATGCCAAGGCCACACACTGCTGTCACTCATGACAGGGCTCTTAGAAGCAGCAGAAAGGGGGCTGGCAGCTGGCAGAGCACCACACAGTGTGGAAACAACACTGGGGCAGGAAATAGAAATGATAGCCTGCTTCCAAATGGCAATGCAACCCATTCCATTCTCCCCAGACATCCAAATGCTGATAATAACAAACCAATTTCAGCAGCGCAGGATCACATGTATAGGAATGATATTCTCGGAGAGTTAAATTATGACACTGTGGCCCAGGAAGATTCTCTTGGTGAGCATTCAATGAGCTTCTCTTCAGGAGCTAGCAGATTACAAACTATCTCTGGTTCAATCCATAATGATTCTAATGAATTAAACCCATTGGTCTCAAGAGAAATGACAGCTTCTCTCTCTAAAATGCAAATGCATACCAATGCCTGGAGGACTGGAGAGAATGAGGAAAGAGGGGCCGCTGAACAGTTACCTTCAGGAGGTCTAGGCTCTCAGCTGGAATTTTCTAAGGAAATGCAAATGAGCACATGTATTAATTTACTGAGCACTCAGCAGCAAATGCTCTAGGAGGTGAGTCCTGAGGAAGAGGCTTTAGCCTACTACAGCACAGTCACATACAGTGATCCAGGAGATACGGATCCATCCATCTTTCCTCCAAGATGAGGCAGTGATGTGGATGTCCCTCCTGCCCACAAGGAACCACAGCAGAACTGTGTTCCTTCTGATACTCAGGTTGAGTTGGAGACCGACTACGATGCTGATGAAGGGTCTTTATTTACTCTAAGTTCAGTAAGTTCACAGGGTACAAAGAATATGACTGAAGACGAGACATATGGTGAGGAGAGCTATAGGGCCAGGGAGCCACCAGAGAATGAGAACGCAGGGGGAAGGATGGACAACACTAGATCATTAGAGAGTCTTGAAGACAACATCACCTTCCAGAACATTCGGGAGAAATGTGAGAATCAGGAACATCATTTGAAAAGCCTCTCATTTCTGCTCCTGACTCTGGTTTGTGCGAGACTTATCAGGAAAGTGCTTCTAACACCAGTAAATTTGAGGAACCATTAACGTTGCCCAGATCCCTGAGCACTAGTCATTTGAGTGTGGAGATTCCAGGCATGTTCATTTATGATTATGTCATAGCTCCTCAGTCAGAGGCACCAGAATGGCATTGTTCACTGAGAGACCTAGAGTTTTCAAATGTAGATATTTTACCACAAATACCACCATGTTCTGCTGATGTTCCCTCACATCCTGATCAGCGTGCCTGCCATGAAAGAGACTCAGACATTTGTAATTATGAGCCATTCATTCAGGGAATAGACACAGTTCAAAAAGATAGTCCTCTCAAGATCGTAACAGGAGAAAACTTAAGACCCTCACAACAAGATTCCAAAGAGCACAACATGGAATCCAACCCAATGGACACTGAGGCAAATGAGGAGTTTGTATGTCCACTTGAGGACACTGATTCGAGTAAGGTTATAAGCCAGACACAATCATTACAATCCTATGGTGATGAACCTGTCCTTCAATGTGAAAGAGAAGGAAATGAATATTTTGAACACTGTTCCAAGTGCCAGGGACCGTTATTCCAAGAGTTTCCAAATAAAACCAGTTCCCTAAGAACACGAGAGTACTTCAGTGATAGAGATTGGGGTGACTATTCAGAGGACAATCTGTTGCAGTTAGAAAAAGATGATTCTAAATTTTATACTCAAATGCAGATCCAGAGTAATCAGATGGGAGTTGGCTCTCTCTGTGAGGAACAATTCTACTATGACAAAGACAAGGATGTTCAACTTGATGATCCAAGATAATTCAAGCAATATTTTTAGTATATAATGAAGTATTTAGATGGAAATGCTGAACAGATTGTACTGAATTCTGCAGAAAGACTAGCACAACCTTTGGAGGTCAACCACAAAACTGTAAAATTAGAAGAGTTCAGAGCAATTCTAAATATTTTTAATAAGTTTTGTTAAAAGAGGGACCCTTTTCTAGAACTAACTGTAAATTAAAAAATTAATTTTCAAGAAGAAAAATCAAACTATGTAAACATTTACCTAGTGAGATTATCAATGAATATTTCAGAAGTTCTAGTCCTCATGCTGTAATTCCTGTACTAGGGGCCTGTGATCTTCATCATAAGCCTTTCACTACAACTCTACTATACCTAAACTTGTATAGAGGGTTTCTGTCTTTTGCCACCAAAAGATGATTCATTTCCATAGCATCTAATATTTGCAACTCTAAGTACTTTCATGAATAAGCCTACTTTTTCAAGTAATACAATCTCCATTCCTCAATCTCACTAAAGCTGACTTTCAACTACATGATTTTCTTTATTTCAACTACCAGTCATAGCAATTACCCAGTGTCTAACTTAATGCAATTTATGTGTATTAAATTATATTGAACTTAGTATCTGGCCCTTTTCCAATTGTCCCAATATACATTTAACTTTGCCTTCTTCTTTTTTTTTTAAAATAGGACTTTATGATAAGCCATTTACTCACTATATGGACCGCTCTGGAAGCCAGTGTCATTTTAAGCCTCTATCCTCATCAGTCACTAATCAAGGTCATCTCTGTTTTCCCTTCTTTCACTCTAAAGCTGCAGAATAGTCTCTAGTGATACAATGAAACTCTGTTTTGGATTCCTACAACATGCTTTGGATTCAGGGAGACTTGAGCTCCAATTCTGTCTACTACTTTTTAACCATTTGGCATTGATCAACTTAGTTAAGTTATATGAATCTCAATTTCGTCATCTGTAATATTGGAATATTACCTTAAGTTTTGGAGTCTTCGTGAGAATCATGGAATCCTATTACATGAGTAGTTAACTTAGTATTAAACACTTTTGCTTGAGAGAGAGAAGCAGAGAGACACAGAGAGAGAGAGTAATTTAAATAGGATGGAAACCCCACCAGGCATTCTTCCCAATAAGTTTCTGCCCTTAACATGAGATAAAGGCTATAAATATGTTAACCCCTTAAGCAAGGATAAATATTTTTCATACTACATTGTTCCAAATGCAAGCAACCAACTTCATCTGGTTCTTAAACAAAGAAATAACAAGCTGTTTAAGTGCTGAAGGAAAACCTGGGTAAGTGAGCTTCAATGAGAAGCAGCTGACCTATGTCCTTCCTTGGGACTTCTCAAAGAATACTTTTGATTGTACGCAATATTCAGCTGAATGGATGACTTTCAAACCTAATACCTGTGAACGGTATAATTTTGTTTTATTTTACAATAATATCTGTAAATTACCAAGCGCATCACCTCTCAGATTAATGACATTCCGTCATATTAAAAACCAAACCCAAATCCATTGCCCTCGAGTCAATTCTGACTCTCATAGCGACCCTATAGGACAGAGTAGAACTGCCCCACAGGGTTTCCAAGGAGCGTCTGGTGGATTCGAACTGCCAACCTTTTGGTTAGCAGCTGTAGCTCTCAACCACTGTCGCCAGGGTTTCAAATTAGGTGATTATAATTCATTGTTTTATTACTATAATAAAATAACTACAGCTGCTAAGTCTTTAACAAGCTTCTTGACTGCTTACAATGCTCCTTATGATGATTCTTCCGAACTGTTACTTTCCCTGAGTCCCTATTAATTTCTCCCTCTTCATTTATAGCAGTTACTCAATGTCTACTACCACTCCTCAAATTAGGGCTGCTTGGCATGAATCTACCTTTTCTACATTTTACAATGTTAAAAAACATCTCTTCAGATTTAAATATCCTCTCTTACTTTGGGCAGTCTCTGAGAAAGTATAACCATTCTCCTCTTAAGGCTATGACCTCAGATATGCACTCCAGATTTCACCCACTCATACATCCTCAAAAGCTTTGTTTTACTCACTTTCATAATTCTTGACTTGAACTTCATTATCATTCTATCATTTGAATCCGTTATCAGATCTTCTCAAGGCTAATGAACTTTCTTCAATAAATGGATAGTAAAAACCTGTTACCGTCGATTCGATTTGGTCTCATAGCAACCCTATAGGACAAAGTAGAACTGCCCCATATGGTTTCCAAGGAGCAGCTGGTGGATTTGAACTGCAAAACTTTTGGTTAGCAGCCGAGCTCTTAACCACTATGCCACCAGGGCTTCAAATGTACAGTAGCTTGTATATAACCCATTGTCCCCACCTTGGCCATACCAGGGAAGAGAAACTAGACAAAGAAGTGACTTGGGTATATCTCCTTGTAAACACACTAACAAGAATAATTGATGATATTTGCTAAATACTTTTAGCAGAATATATATAGCCTATCTAGGTTTCTTGTGTAAATAAACTGGAATTATTCCAAGCTGGCCTGCTGGAATTCATCTGTGTCAGCTATATACTTTTCAAAGTATAAAATGCAAATATTTCATGATCAAAATAGTTCCTTTCATGTTAATGTTGTCAGGCATGTATAAGTCAGATATCCCATATATTAAAACCTGGGTTGGAGCATTTTAGTGTAGGAAATAAGGACCTGGAGGTCTGTGTTAACTGTTCTAAGAATTTTTCATTCTTTTTCTGAAACTTATGATTATTTGTATCCTTTAAATCAAGGGTCAACCAACAATAGCCCATGAGCTAAAGAGCTGTTGAAAAATAATGATAAAGAAGAATGTGTGCCATAAACATCATGTGATCTGCAAAACCTAAAATACTTGTTATCTGGCCATTTATAGAAAAAAAAGATTGTTGACTTCTACTTTAAATTATTAGTCAAGTTTAATTCCAGGGTAAAATCTCTGACTTTTGTGTCTGATTTGACAAGTGATTCTTTGTGCTGTCACACCTACTATCCTCATTACACTACAGACATCTTGAAAGAAGAAGCGAGAGTCAGTTGGATAATTCTACATGAGTGTCCTCACAGCACATTGAGTTCAATGTGCCCACAACATACTCATTAATTCTCAGTCACCTAAAAATACATCCACTCATTTATAATTATCTGATTTTCAACAAAGTTTCCAAAGCAATCCAATGAGAAAAGAAAAGTCTTTTCAATAGTGACCCTGGAATAAGTGGATATGCTTTGAAAATAAATGTACCTCAAACCCTGCTTCAAACAATCCACAAAAATAAAGAATTAGTAAACAAAAAATAATTCAAAATAGATCATAGATTTAAGTATAAAGGCCAAAACATAAAGCTATCAGAGAAAAATAGAATATTTTAGTAACTTAAAGAAGGCATATATTTTTAGACAAGTCACAAAGAGCAATAACTATAAATAATAGACAACTTAGATATCATTAAAATGTAAAATTTCTGCTCTTCAAAGACACAATGAAGAAAATACATAGGCAAACCACAGGCTGGAAAAGAAAAATAAATGCAAAATGCATATCTGAAAAAGCACAAATATCTAGGATGTAGAAAAAAATCCTTCAGCTCATAATAAAGTGATAAGCAACCCAATTTTTAAAATTGGGCAAACAATTTTAACACAGAGATACATGAATGGTCAATAAGCACATAAGGAAGTGCTCAACATCATTACCATCAGGGAAATGCAAATTAAAACCACAGTAAGGTATTACTGTGTTCACTAGAATGAGTAGGAATCGACTTGATAGCAGTGGAGAGGGGAGAATGGCTAAAGTTTAAAAAGACCAAAAACACCAAATGTGGTTGAGAACGTGGTGGGAGCGTAAAATGGTACAAGCATTTTGAAGAAACATCTCGAATTTCCCTTGATAACTAAATATACACTTAACCTATGACCCAACATTCTGACACTATGTCACTACCTAAGAAAAAATGAAAATATATATCCACGAAGAAAACCTTGTATAATTTATAAAGCATTATTCACAGTAGGCAAAAACTAGGAAAGGCTTGGTTGTCTATCAGTAGGATAATGGATAAACAAATTGTGAAGCATTCATACAGTGGAACACTATTCATCAATAAAAGGAAACGAACTATGAACACACTCGGCAACATGGATGAATCTCAGAAACATTATTCAAGGTGAAAGAAGTCTTAAAAAAGTATAATTTGTATTTTTCAATTTGTATAAAGTTCTATACCAGATAAATCTAATTGACAATAGAAAAGTATTAGAATAATAATTGTCAGAGGCCAGATATGGGGGACAGAGATTAACTTTAAAGGGGCATAAGGGAACTTTCAAGAATAATATTAATATTCTATATTCTGAATGGGATTTGGGTTACACTAGAGTATGCATTTGCCAAAATTCATTGAATTACACACTTAATTTCGGTGCATTTCTTTATGTGTAAATTTTATTTTTAAGTGCAAATAAATATTGAACTCTAGTTAACATTACACATGGCAAAGTATATAGAGGAAAGCATAGAGCTCTCTGCAATTCAATATTAAACGCATCAAAAAAAAGATGAGTAGAGAGAGATACGGAATCACACATCTATTTGATAAAACAAATATAATAAAATGGCAGTGGTAGAAGCTATGCGCTGAGTATGCAGGTGTAAAATTTTTTCAACTATGTCATATGTTTGAAGATTATCATTAGATAATGAATAAAATGAGAATCAAAATGGGATAATAATTAGGAATATTGCCTTTACATTCATAAAGAACTATGCTCCACTGTATCTCTGCAACTTGCTAGTAGAGTGACATTAAGTGTATTATTATCTGTTTTAGCCTCCTTTTTGTCATCTGGAAATGAAGATAATAATAAAGGGTCTTTTATTTTTCTGTAAACATGAGATAAAATATCATATGTGACGCACCTAGCAAAATGCCTGGAACATATTAAATGCCTAATTAACGTTTGCTGTTAGCGTAATTTTTTTTACTATTATC